CCTAACATGATCTCTAATGTCCAATTTCCTGTGATCCCAGAGCAATTCTTCTTATTTTTTTTTTTTGTTAAAGAAAGAGTGAGAGAGGGAGAGAGAGAATTTTTTCTAATATTCATTTTTTAGTTATCGGTGGACACAACATCTTTGTTCGTATGTGGTGCTGGGGATCGAACCCGGGGCCACACGCATGCCAGGCAAGCGCGCTACCGCTTGAGCCACATCGCCAGCCCCCCAGAGCAGTTCTTAAAGCATACACATGTGCCAAAGCCCCCAAAGAGATGTTTTGAGAGGCGGTTTGCAAAGAAGTTCATTAACATTGCTGGGACAAAAGAAAAACACTACAAAGCACAAGTTAATCAGATAGTAATAGGCAAAGGACAGTGTTTGGACTCTGTCATTTTGACTCTGAGTTTATTTTGAGGGGATTGCAGAAGAAAATTAGATATGGTAGAAATAATCAACACAAAATAAAACTGACAATGGCTAAAGCTACATGTGGTACAATTTATTATGGATGGAGAAGCAAACTGAATAATCCCATCTTTGTTGGTAACATTGACCACAGCAAGTTTGACCCCTGGGAAAATTCCACTTAGTAGGAATAATCGACACAAAATAAAATCAACAATGGCTCCAACTGCTTTGAGGAAAAGGTAGACTTGGTGGAAATAATTATTAACAAGGAAATTTCATAATGGCTGAAACAATAATAATCAGTAAAAATCATAAAAAATAAAGGATAATTGATAAATAAAATCTTATTATAAAATTATAGAGAAAATATATCTTGATACAAATTCAATATAGAAAAAAATATAGAAAAATCCAAAAAAAATTTTAAACTTAGCACAATTAGAAATATAGAAAATTTTGTCAAAGAATTAAATTGGCTAATAGAGTTAAATCATCAAAATATTCATTAATGTTGATATAATTCTCAGACAGGAAGTTTATATGCCATGACTTGGCAGTGATTTGGAAATTTCAAATTATATGAAGGAATTAGACTGTGATGCTCTACACTCTTCAAAACACTTTTATACTCAGAGATTCTTTTTTTTTTCTTTTCTTTTTCTCTGAATAGGGGATTGAGTCCAGGGATATTCTACCACTGAGCTACATCCCCAGGCCTTTAATTTAAAGACTTTTTCTTTTTCTTTTTTTTTAGTTGTAGATGTACACAACACCTTTATTTATTTATTTAATTTTTTAATATTTTTAGTTGTAGATGGAAACAACACCTTTATTTATTTAGTTTTTTTTATGTGGTGCTGAGGCTCAAACCCAGTGTCCCATGCATGCGAGACAAGTGCTCTACCACTAAGCCAGAACCCCAGTTCACCAGGCCTTTAATTTAAATTAAATATTTTGAGACAGCATCTTCCTCACTAAGTTGCTGAGCTTGGCCTCAAACTTGCCTCAGCCTCCACAGTAGCTGGGATTACAGGCATATGCCACAGTGCCTGGCATATCCATTTTAAAAATAAATTATCCTAAAACCTTATGAAATGGCAGGGTGGGAATCATTTTTTCCATTTTACAGATATAGAAACTGAGGTTCAGAAGTGAAGAGATTGAGGATCCTCATCATGTTCATGGCAAGGTCTAACTTAGAACCTGATTCCCAGATTCCTGGTTCAGGAAGTTTCTTTATATTGCTTGATTCCCCTAACTTAGATAATGCTGAACTGACTGGATAGATGAGAGCTCTTCTAATTTTTCCCACAGATCCTCCACTTCTTGTCACTAGAAAAGTGGGGAAGAAGGAGGAAAACAAGTGAAGTCAGGGTTTAGAAGAGGCATGGTTAACAAGACAGAGGGAAGGGCTTGACACATAGACAATATATCATAGGCAACTTTTCCACTGTTGTTAGAAAAGGGAGCAGAGGGCTGAAATTTTTAAAGCTGGGAGATTAGTATGAAAAAGGAGATAGCAGTTGAAAAAGACAGTGCCTGGTATATTTGGGGAACATGGGTCCTGAGGAAGAGCAGTATAACCAGACTGGGCAGTTGGGGGAGCTAGAGAGAAAAGCTGTAGCAGAAGACTATAAACTGTTATCCTCTGAGCTAAGCAACCATGGCTTTCTCCCAGCTCTCATGAGCTTCAGTGGGCTGGAGTGGTGGAGCTCAAATGTCCTACTTTTTTTTTTTTAACAGAACACCAAGGAATAATGACATACAGCTGAAAATACTGTAATTGAATATATTATTTATGTTAAATCAGAGATATCATATGCCATATTTGGTGCTAGGGATTAAACCCAGAGACTTGTACATACAAGGCAAGCACTCTACCACTTAGTTACATCCCCCCCCGGCCCCCCGGCCTCATAGTCTACATTCTGGAAGAGCTAGACACAGGTGTGAGAAGAAAAAACAATTTTTTTAAAACTGCAAAATGAATTTATTCGTTCTGTAGAAAATGCTTTGTGTAGGTAGAACTTTGTAGACACTCTCTGTTCTTCCATCTTTACTTCCCTCCTCACAATCTCTGGCCCACGGATCAGAAAGCACTACTATAAGAATGAAGATGTAGCCTGGTGTAGTGGAGCACACTCGTAATAACAGTGGCTCAGGAGGCTGGGACAGGAGGATCACAAGTTTAAAGCCAGCCTCAGCAACAGCGAGGCACTAAGCAACTCAGTGAGATTCTGTCTTTAAATAAAATACAAAATAGGGCTGAAGTGGGGCTGGGGATATAGCTCAGTTGGTAGAGTGCTTGCCTTGATGTCAAGGTCCTGGATTCAATTCCCAGCACTACGGTGGTGGGGGTGGGGGCGGGGATGGGGGTGGGGTGGGGGGACAACAAAATATGGTTGGGGATGTGGCTCAGTGGTTGAGTGCAACTGAATTTGATCCCTGGTACCCCTATCCCCCCACCTCAAATAATCAAGATGTAAGGAAAATGAGTGTCCTTAAAAATATGCTGGAGGGAAGGTAGAATTTTGGCCCCAGTTTGAAGAGTGAGTAAGAGAGAAGGAGGAAAAGGGTGTGGAAGGACCAGAAAAGGGAAACATTTGAGAACACTGACAATTGAGAAAATTCTCTCTGCTAACTTAATGTTATGAATTGGAAGTGACTACCATTGTTTCAATAGTGGCAATGTTGAGCTCTCAGAAAAACCAGACAGTCCTTTAGCATTGCTGAGGCAATGGGGAGCCACGGAAATTTTCTAGGCAGGTGAGAGGTTGTTGGATTTGGAAATTTTACTTTTTTGGAAATAGTCTCAGTTTTTTCTTTTCTTTATTTTGATACCAGGGATTGAACTCTGGGGTGCTTAATCCCTGAGCCACATCCCCAGTCCTTCTTATTTTTTATCTTTTTAAAATATTTTGTTTTAGTTGTAGTTGTACACAATACCTTTATTTTTTATTTTTATGTGGTGCTGAGGATAGAACCCAGTGCCCCGCATGAGCTAGGCAAGCGCTCTACTGCTGAGCCACAAGCTTAGCCTCTTATTTTTTTAATCTTGAGACAGGGTCTTGCTAAATTGCTGAGGCTGGTTTCGAATTTGTGATCTTCCTGCCTCAGCCTAAGTGGCTGGGATTACAGGTGTAAGCCACTGAGTCCAGCAGTCTCATAACTTTTCATAAATAATATGTGCTGATGGGTGCAGTGGAGCATGCCTATAATCCCAGCACTGGAGAGGCTCAGGAGGATTGCAAGTTCAAAGCGAGTCTCAGCAACTTAAGAGACCCTGTTTCAAAATAAAAAATAAAAGGGTTGGGCATGTGGCTCAGCTGTTAAGTGTTCCTAGGTTCAATCCCCAGTACCAAAAAAAAAAAAGAGAGAGAGACAGGGAGAATAGTCTGGGGGTGTAGCTCAGGGGTAAAACACCCCTGGGTTTAATTTCCAGTAAGCACTCCCCCCCTCCCCCCCAATAAAAAGAGAAAAAGAAAAAAGAAATGTGTTCCTTTTCAACAATTTACTTAATATTAAAATTTAAATAACTTGAAATCTGACACCATTTTCCCCAGATAATCATTTGGGGAGAACCTCTTTCCTGTAATCTCTCTTTGCTTATATTGTCTTAAATTTCACATAAACTGGACCTGTCTAAACATAGAGTCTTGTAATTATTTTTCCCTTTGAGAATAAGTTGTGAATAGCTTTTCATGTTAATAGATCTTCATCATTTTAAATGGCTGCCAAGTAATGCATTGTATGTATACATATATCACCATTTAATGAGCCTATTGACGAATATTTGCGTTTTTCCCCATAATCAACAATCTAATAATAACTTGTCTTTTCTAAATTATTCCATTATCTTTTCAAGGTAAATTCTTAAAAGTAATGGAGCTGTAAATGTAATTAAATGTCCTTTTACATTTGAATTCAAGTTGTGGAATCGTCCTCGAATTTGCAAATACCAGTGAGGAAGCTAGCTGCCTCTTTAGTTCTGGCGTGAGTCAGGGACAACCGAGATGGAGAGTACAGAATCACAGGTGATCTAGCCCATCTAGGCCTATGCTCGGTGGGTCAGCATATTCCTTCCCTTTTTTCTCTCTTTCACTTCTTTTTCTTAACATGGAGGAAGAATCGAGAACTGCACCTCCTAGTCTTTGCAGGGACCACACTCCCTGGGAACTGTAGTACCGGGTCTGAGAAAGGTACGGAAAGAGGAGAGTGGGAGGCTGTGTGGCACGCCGGGAGATGTAGTCCAGCGGGAGGCAACCCGTGTCTGTGTAGATTGGAGACTTTGAGAGCTACGCCACCTGGGGATCGGGGTGCAGAACCGCCGACTTTCCCGACATGTGGTCTTCAAGGCTATAAAAGGCGCCAGTGTACAGACAGCTCGTTCCATTGTCGGTGGTGGGAGAGGGCACAGCACCCTCAGCGCGGGCGCGCGGCGGGAAGCAAAGGCCTTGTGCGGGCTGGAACAGGGCATGCCGGGAGTTGTGGTCCCGGCGCACTGAGTCCGTGGGACGTGTCGCGACGCCGCGGCGGCTCCTCCTCCCCCGCCCTTCTCAGCGGTCCCCCGCCCCCTCCCTCCGCCTCCTCCTCTCTCGCCTGCAGCCGATCGTCCCCTCCCCCCACCCGTCGGGCTCCTCCGCGGCTACTGCAGAGGATTCAGAGCCGAGTAGCTGAGGAGGAGGAGGCTCCCGTCCCTGCGCGCCATCCGCCACCTTACTGGACACGGGCGAGGGAGCGAGAGCGTCGCCGCTGTAGCCTCCGGAGAAGATAAGGGCATCGCCTCCTGTCGCCTCCGTAGCCGTTTTCGCCTGCAGTGGCTAGCCGGTGAGGAGAACCCCCCCCCCCCCCCCCCGCCCGCTGGTCTGGAGCCTGGGCTGGCGGCGCTGGGGAGAATGAGAGTGGGGGCTGCGGAGCCCCCTCGCGGCTTGGGGGGAGGGGGCTGAGGTCGCGATGGAACGGCGGGCTGGCGGGGGAGACTTGTCCGAGCGCGGACTGGGGGTGGGGTGAGGGTGGGACCCCAGCAGGTTGGAGGGGGGATAAAGGAGGTGGGCTTCTAATGGGGGAATAGTCGGACCTGGGACAGGAGCGTGTGTGTGTGTGTGTGTGTGTGTGTGTTGGGGGGGGATGGTGTCGGGAAAGATTTGGGATAGTCTTGGGGCGAGATATGAGACTGAAGTGGGATGGTTTTTATAATGGGGGAGGGGACTGAATGAGGGTGGTGATTTGGGGTTGGCCTGGAGCAGTTGACAGCTTGGGATCTGAGCCCGGGTGGGAGATAGGTGGATGATTTCTATACAGAGTGGGATGTAAACCGTTGAATAGGGCCCTGGGGAGTGTTTTAATTCAGGAAGGTGGAATTTGGGGTGGGACTGGAGTAAGCTGATGGAAGTGGTAGGGTGGTAGGAGCTGGGGGTGAGGGACTTGGCATGGGTTGAGACCTGAGCTTGAAGTGGGCGTTTGTCACCTGGGGATGGTGGAATTTGCGGAGACTTACGGAATTAGCATGGTTAAGATAGAGCAGAGGGGGTGGAATTTGAGATTTTCCTGGGATGGTTGATGAAGGTTGGAATAGGTGCTGGCAGGGGTGAGACTTTCAATGGGGGATGGAGTGTTATGGTGACCTGGAAGGAGGGGGATAAATTGGAAGTTAGGCCTAAAATGGGAGGACAAGGATTGAAATTGGGGGTGGGGCACAGTGGAATAGGATTTAGGGTGATCTTGGACTCACTGGAGGGGGCATGGTGGCTCCCTGTGTAGGGAGAAGGCAGAGGGCACATGCGACTGCTAGACTGGATTCACTGAAAGAATAGTGGCAGGTGGTGAGCAAGGTTGGGGGATGGTATCTTAAAGAAAATGTCCCTTGGCCAAGGTGGCAGAGGGAGTTTTGGAGAAGGAATGTCTGTGATGAGCTGGAGAGGTGTTTGTGGATGGTGAGGTGGTAGAGAGGAAATTTAAGATGTAAGAGACCTGGGGTTGTTGGTATGGATGGGACAGAGAGGATGGAGAGGTGTGCAATACTGGGAATGAGTGGGTTGGATTTTTCTGGAGAGGAAGGATTGGGATGTCCTCCAAGAGACACCAGAGGTTTAAGGGTTAGAACACTTAAAGGGACAGTTTTGGTTGCTGCGTTTGGAGGGGAGGCAGTAATTGGAAGATTGTTAAAGGGGACTTTGTAGGGAACAGAGAAGGTACATTAAAGACTCTTCTAAAGGACATTTTAAGCTTTAGTTTGATCTTTTTGTTTGTTTTATTTGTATTAGTATCTTTTGGAAGTCAGCCAAAAAGGTAAAGTTAAGGAGGGGAGGATGTCTTTTATTATTCACGTATCATAAAGAGAAGTTGGGGGGCACTTTGAAACTAAAGGTGGGAGGAGATGTGACGAGGTTGTGATAGGTATTTTTCTGTATGAGGGCTCTGTCTTTTCCTTTCCCTCCTCCCCCTGGTGCATTAAAACTAGTACTGGAATTTGGAATTTAAATAGATTTGATGAGCTTGAGGTTAAGGGTGCATTCCTTGCTTGAGAACTAATGAATGAGACTAAAAAATATGAAGCTGAATTTATTTTCTAGGGAGGCAACGTGCATATATGCAGAAAACACTTAGGCCTTTTTTTCTTTCCTCTTAAAATTGATTGCTTGAAGACTCCATTTATTGGTGTCCTGGTTTGCAAGGCAATTAGGCCCATCATTGTATTGCAGGCTAATAATCCTGAGTTGAGTCTTGGCATCACTGCTTTATGTAAACAGAAGACAGGAAATATGGAAATGTCATAAATATTCATTGGTGAGATGATGGTTTGGTACTGATGGAGTTTTTCATTTGATTCTCTTTTGACATTACTTGATAAGACTTAAAATAATTGGACTATTTCTATAGATTGAATTTTCTTCTAAAGGAATTCAGGTGATCAGAATTCTATCAGATGTTGATAAATGAAGTATAGAGAATCATTTTTATTTTTTAGGGGATGATGGTGATGTATGCATTGTATTAACTACAGAAACAACATCTACATCTATTCATCAGAAATTTGACTTAAAGAGATATGCTTATTCTTATGGCAGAATGCTGACAATGGAAAGTAGAGAGGAGTGTGAATGGAGGGAACATCTTTAGGGAAACTGTTTTCTGGACTTAATTGCATTAACTATAATATGTTAAACATGAAGTAGATGTTGATTAGAGCTCAGACTAAGGAAAAATGAGTTGTAAAGAGGATAAAATTGGCACCAATGGGATCAAAATAATTCTTTTTATTTTTGTTAAAGCCTCAGAGTTCAGCTTGAAAGCAAACCACTTTTCTTGGCTTTCAGTTGAGCACACAAAAATACCCACTTGGAATCTTTTTTTTTTTTTTTTTGGTAGTTTTCAAAATGGGCAGAATGATGGAAGGTTGAACTCACCCTTGGAATTGAAAGTCTTTTTTTATGAGGAAGCTTTCTGTATTACAATAAAAATCAGGTTTGAGCAGTTACCTGTAATACTATGAGAATGTAATCTAACTAATGCAAACATTTCGCCTCATAACTTTACTATGGGGTCCAGACCTTGCTTTTGTGCATTTGCAGGCAATGTCTAGAGGTGGGATGTTTCTCTGAAAGTCCTGGCTTTTGAAAGCTCAAAATGAAAAGTAATCACCTGAGAGAAATGTGTTGGTGGATTTTTCCCCCCTACAGCTGCAGTCATCTGTATAGTATTAATGTGAATAAAGTGTTTTAGCGTCTTTACTTCATTTGACCCTTCAGACACTCTGGTGAAAGGGGAGAGCAGGTGAAGGTATTGGTAGAAGCCTTGGTAGAATGAAGAGCTCATGAATTTAGGAGTCGAACTGGCTTCAAATCCACCACTTAAAAGCAGAGACTTCAGTAAAGTCATTAGAAACCTTTCATATTTAGTAGTAATGGTTGCTCAGCATAGTGAATGTACTCAGTGCCCCAAATTATACACTTAAATATGGTAAAACAAAACAAACAAAAAATGCTTTGTATTTCACAAAGGTATCAAGAGGAATAAATCAGTTCATGTCCTGAAATTATGTCTTGAAAACACTACACATATATGAAATATCTGTTTACTATTTATTTATTGGATGCCTGCTAAGTTCCAGGGGAAATGAAGATGAACAAAAAGCAGTTGTCAATGAGCTTTAAGTGTCATGGGAGAGAGAATTTAATGTGAAAAAAAGTGAGGCAAAATGAGTGCAGTGACTGAGTGTGGGTTCTGAAGTCTGTCCATCACTATTACTGTATGACCTTGGGCACAATGAACTCATCTTTAAAGTGGGCATAATAGAACTAATCTCATAAGGTTGCTTGAAGATTAGAGAAAATAATCCAAGAAAGCATTTAACATAGAGTGTTGCATAATGTACACTAAAACAGTGTAAATTCCCATTATTAAAAAGCTAGACAATGGCTAGAATGATGAATTGCGTTTTGTGCCCTACCAATGAGTTCTTAGTATTATGGTATTTTATTATTTATTAAAGAGGCATTATTTTGTATTATTATGATATAACAATTTATCTGCAGTTTGCATGTTTGTGCTACCTATTTGCATATTTGTAGTCTAGGAACTTTAAATAGTTATTTTTTTTTGAAAAAAAATTTTTTAGTTGTAGATAAACATATAATATCTTTACTTATTTTTATGTGGTGCTGAGGATCGAACCCACTGCTTCACACATGCGAGGCAGGCGCTCTACCACTGAGCTACAGTCCTAGCCCCTTTAAATAGTTCTTTAAATGCCAAGGAAAGTACCAAACAGATGTGAGTTGTTGATTTCCTCTTCTATAAAATAAGAAAGACTGTCAGGGATTAAATGATTGGTTTAAAGTTATACAGCCAGTAAGAGAAAGAGTCTGGATTACAGTTCATTCTTCTTCACATGTTTCTTTTAGGTGATTTTTTTTTTCTTGTATGTGGTGCTGGGGATTGAACCTAGGGCTGTGCGCATGCCAGGCAAGCACTCTACCAACTGAGCTATTCCCCTGCCCGCATCTTCCTTTTACATTGTGAAATAATTCATATGTATAAGAGTATATATAATACAAATCCAAAATTTAAACAATAATAACAGTTGAAGATGTGTACTATTACCCAGACTAACAAAAAGGAGTTTGTAGTATTTTTAAAGCCTCTTGGGAAGTGCTGCTCAATTGAATCTTCCTCCTTCCCTCTCCCTCAGGGGTAACCACTTTCCTGAATTTGATATGAATCATTCCCTTACTTTTATCAAATATGTGCATATGTCTAAATATCTAAACAATATATTTTTTTCCCACATAAAAAAACTTTTTTTTTTTTTGTAGATGAACCCAATACCTTTATTTTATTTATTTTAATGTGGTGCTGAGGATTTAACCTAGTGCCTCACACGTATAAGGCAAGGGCTCTACCGCTTAACTACAATACCAGCCCTCCACATTTTTTACTGATGCATTACAGTTGTACATAGTGATGGGATTTGTTGTTACATATTTATACATGCATACAATATAACAATAAAATTTGGCCAGTATCACTGCCCAGCATTCCCCCCTTCAACCCTTTGTAAACAATATAGTTTTCACTTGCAATTTTTTTTCTTTTTTGTGGCAGCTGCAAATAGAACCTAGGGCCTCTCTCATGCTAGGTAAGAGACATTCCTTGCCCTGTGTGTGCAACTGTTTATAAATAGTATCATAGTATAAGTGTTCTTCTGTGACTTTCTTTCTTTTCTTTTTCTTTCTTTCTTTTCTTTTTTGTTTGGTGGTATTGGGGGATTGAATACGCTAGGCAAATGCTCTACCACTGGGCTACACCCCTGGCACTTTTAAAATTTA